GCAGCAGAGCGCGCGCTGGAACCTGCACTACAGACGCTGGAACAACTCGCGGCATTGTTCATGGAAGATGCAGAACTCCACTGGATGGAGCGGTGTACTTACTACATGGCGCAGATGCTGATGGGCGAGCAGTGCTCAGCTCTCTATGCAGGGCTGTCCGACAGAATGGCCGACGAGGAGCGATGGAGAAGGGCACCGAAGATCTGCAGCTCAGCTTGGCAAGGAACCCAGGCGCGCAGGACCGAGCGCTCGACGCAGATCGCCAACCTCTAAGGCCTGGAGTACCAGCACGGGATGGTGATGCTCCCAGGCCTATGAAGAAGTGGCTCGGAGCCATTGTGGAACCATCGTGGAACCAAGCAGGCACCTTGTGAGTTCATGGGATTTCGTCACACTTGCGACGTCAGAGCCATCGTGGAAACATCGTGGAACCAAGCAAGAACCCTGTGAACTCATGGTGCTCCGTAACATGTTAACTTCTCGGAACTATCATGGAAGTAAGCTGGAACCACCGCGATCGGGCGCGGACCTTACAAAACGACATGGATCGGCGATCGGGGATTCGCCGCCCCTGCTATTATGATGCGACTTAAAGGTTGTTCACGGCGTATCTACACCCCTGCGCCCTGGAGAAGAGGGGCACCTTCAAGTTGTATTACAAGAGGGCCGCGGGGCCCATCGGACGCGCTTCACCTCCGCCTCCTGACGCGGCCTCCCCGCCGGATTCCACCGATGAGGATGCGCGAGCACATCCTGCCCTCGGCGGCGATCGACATCGCCGTCTCTGCACCTCCGCCAGCCGCCGCGGCCCCGCGCCGCCTTCCGCCGCCGCGCGCCTTTCTCCTGGAGGCGACGCCCTCTCCTGCTCTCCAGGCGGCTCCGCCGGACAGCCATCGCTCTCACATACATCATCGATTCCTTTGCCTCCGCCTGCTGCCGGCGCCCGCCCGCCGCCTTCCGCCGCGAGGTCAGCTGCGCCTCCCACATCGAACGGCGCCGATGCGGCCGATCCCTGGACCGCTGTCAGGCGGCTCCCTCCGACGGCCCTCGCGCACGACGCGCCTTCGACTTGCCTCCGCCCCGCCGCCTTCCGCCGCGAGGGTGGGCCGCCGGGCGCCCCCCCCTCCCCTCGAGAGCCGTCGCACAGCTCTTCAGACCACACTGCACCGACGCATCTTACCAGCCTGGAACATACCCGTATCCCTAAGCTGGGCATCGCCTCATCGCGATGCCAATCCTAGGGATTGCCTTAGTTTTTCAGGGCGCATCCCTAAGATTGTCATCTCCTTTTGGCGTGCCAATCTTAGGGATAGGGATAAGTTCGAGGCCGGTGAGCATCCCGCCCCCGGACCGCTCCTGGGAGCGCGCCGTGGCCAGGAATGCGACACGGATCCGGCGGCAGCGGCGGGGGCCGCGAAACAGGCCCCCCTGACGTCGCCTCGCAGCCTGAGCTGCCCGCGAGCCCGGCGACCCCGCGCCTGCCTGCCCTGCCCCCCCCCCAGCCCTGACCTCCTCTCCCCTCCGTGCCCGCCCCCTCCGAAAAGCAGTGTTCGGGGATCTTCTGACCCGGGTCCATCCAGACCCGGGTCAGCAGGGAGCCAAAAAAACTACAAGGCGGGACAACAAAAACTGCAAGGCAGGTATTCGCAAACCGGGGTCAGCCAATCTGCGCAGCCGCCTCGCGGCCACGAGCGGCTCGCTAACCCGGGTCAGCCAAAGGGGGTCTTCGCAAAATCCTGCAAGATCTGGTGCCCTGGCTGACCCCCGTTTGCATTGACCCCCGTTTCTTGAGCCCCGAAATGTGCACCTGTCTGAAGTGCCGGGTGCTCATCCTGGGGCAGCGTCAAAGGCCTCCCGAATGGGGGTCCGAGCAGATGGGGTCGGAGGAGCGCGCCGCATTGCTGATGTAGCGGCGCCGTCGGCGTTGATACACTCGGGCTCCACGTCGAGCCGCATCGCCCATGCGTCTTCGATGCAGCGAGATCCTCCGACCCCAACCACTCGGACCCCACACGGGATGCCTAGACAAATTCAGGGCCCCATAGATCCTCACTCATCCAATTAAAGATCAGCAGCGACAATATACCGAAAAAGAGCGCAGACGTTTTTGTTGGTACTCGGCGCGCAAAAACGGTCAGAGTTCAGAGCTCATCCTTCCGCAATACCTATGCCAGGTAGCATTCACTCATTCCAGATCACCTTTACTGGGACCAGACGGGCAAACCTGCTGGCAAGATCCCCTGAGTTGCTCTCGGGTTGTTCCCAGCCTTGGCCACTACCTAAGCCAAGTGCCGCAATGACAGATCCGAATCCAGCCACAGCGATGCGACGAACGTTTGCCAACACTGATGCAAGCTTGTCAAATGGATTGCCACCCTCACCGATAAAACTGTAAAAGTAAACAAGTGAGGACGTCTTGCAAACACGCTTTCTCAACTCGGGCAATTGAAAATACACTGCCTCCAAATAGATATCGCGAAGCTTATTCCTGTCACTGGGCAACTGCACGGTGAACATTGCTGCGTCGTATGTAGCATCCACGACATTTCCTGGATTCTGGACCAAGCCGCGAACAGCATTTACCGCAACCGTGCAAGTCGAAGTGTATGAAAGTCCTTCCGCCTTGTTCCTCAGATGCGCTAAAATTAAATCGAAGTGCTCAGGGCTGCGATCTATGAAAATTGCACCATCCCTTGTCAATTCCTTGTTTGCCGCAGCCTTCATTACATACCCCCTGAGTACATGGCTTTGCTCCAATGTAGATGCCAATGTTATGAAAGACTTCCCCCCAACATTCAATGTCACCACACGGTCTCCGTCACCGTGCCTTTCAACCTCTCGCTTTCCTTCTTGGAGACTGGAAATCTCGGTGGAGCAAAAACATTGCGCCTTGAAGGGGTTGACTACCAGAAGCTTGCCCCCACAAAACGAACGCCGATAGATGCTTCCCTTAGGTCGGGCATGTCCCCCTACAGGCGGCTTTTGGAAGAACAATGAAACATAATCAAACAATGAAGCACACAAAAAACACACATACGCCAAAAATGGTTCCCCTACTATTTTTTAGACGATGTTTGAATATTCCTCCTGTAGAGGAACAGGCCCGACTTACTGCTTCCCCCTGCCCGTGGAAGCATGGCGCGCCGGAGGCACAAAATGGCTCGGCCCGGGAACACAGCAGCAGCACTTGATCCGAAATGCCTTGAGCCCAAACTTGCTGCCATGGAGTAATATAAAAGGAAAAATCCACCCCCATGATACATGGCCGACAAGCGAGTCCGTTTAGTAAACGCTCCCAAAGACAGAATCGAACAGGGCAGGGCTGTTTAGTAAACGCCCAAGGCCGTTTAGAAAGCGCCAGTTATCAGGTCTGGGTGGTTTTTCTTCCCTTGGCAATAGCACTTCCGAACATCTCACCCGTGTCCACCCGCGGATCCTGGCCGATCGGCAACCTCGAACTGGCCTGGCATCCCGCCTGTATCAAGGAAAAGGAAACCGACACTAAGCATGAATTTTCGGAAGCGCGAGCAGATGTGTTGGATCGGCGCTGGCCTCCCCTCCACTAGCGCGCCGAGCGCGCCAAGGGCGGCGCAGGAGGCGCCGCCAGGGGATCCGGCGCAAATCCAACAAATCCGCACAAGCATGCGAAACATAGTGTGTGTGTGTGTGGGTGTGGTGTCCTCTATTTCGACGTTCGCCGTCTGGTCGCTCCTCACTCCCGGAACTTCGACGTCGTGATGTTTCATGGCGTGGGCCCTCAGACGTGTGGAACCATTTCTCTGGGACTGGCTTTTCATCCCGAGTCGCTCTGTTCACGACCGTTGTTTTTCGACGATTGTTTAACGACGAGAGGAGGTGGGACTTCCTCTCTCTCTCTCTCTCTTTCTCTCTCTTTCCTTCTCACCCCCCTTTCTATGTATATATATATATATATATATATATATGTATGTATACCTTTGTTTCCATATCTCTCTTTATGTGTAAATATGTGTGGGGCAGGCGGGGGGTGAGCGATAGCTCATCGAATTAAGGAGAAATGACTTTCCCTCTTCAACCGGCCAAAGCTGTTGACAGAGCTTAAACTCCCATGGGCACTATATTTATAGTTACAGAGGCCTCTGCACGGAGCTCGAAAGGTCTACTCTCTTTTGCACGGACCGACCCCCCACGCCAGAGCACAGACCGCACCCCGAGGCCAGAGTTGGATTCGCAGACCACCATCCGCAGACTGGGGTCGGCCACCATCACGGGAGACTGGGGCCAGAACCTCCACGGCCTCGGGGGCCAGGGGAGGCTCGACGGCCTTGGGGGGGCCCAGCAAAGAGAACCCCCTGAGAGCCCAGCAGGACCGTGCCCAAGAAGCTCGAGCTCTCGCGAGAGTCATTGCATTCGCCACTTAGGGCGGTATGTGGGTGGGCCAGAACAGCTGCCATGCAAGCGAATGCGGCCGATGTGACACGCAACCCCCCTGACGCCCACACATCTACCGTAAACGTATACATGTGTGGGGCAGGCGGGGGGTGAGCGATAGCTCATCGAATTAAGGAGAAATGACTTTCCCTCTTCAATCGGCCAAAGCTGTTGACAGAGCTTAAACTCCCATGGGCACTATATTTATATTTACAGAGGCCTCTGCACGGAGCTCGAAAGGTCTACTCTCTTTTGCACGGGCCGACCCCCCACGCCAGAGCACAGACCGCACCCCGAGGCCAGAGCTGGATTCGCAGACCACCATCCGCAGACTGGGGTCGGCCACCATCACGGGAGACTGGGGCCAGAACGCTCCACGGCCTCGGGGGCCAGGGGAGGCTCGACGGCCTTGGGGGGGCCCAGCAAAGAGAACCCCCTGAGAGCCCAGCAGGACCGTGCCCAAGAAGCTCGCCAACTCTCGAAAAAGACACCAAGCTCTCCATTCTGTGTTTTTCCTCTGGCCGTAGGCCGAAGATATGCCAAGCCTGGCGACGGCAGCACGGGCAGCAGCTCGCACCAGACATCAAAAATTATTGCAGCAGGTCACGGGCTGCAAAACGCTCGGACTCGAGCGAAAAGTGCATTGGAGGACTGCGAGCGTCGAACGGGCACGATCCTGGAGCATCATCTCTGCGATGATGGCAGCCCCGTCTTGGATGTATATCTTTGCCGTTCCTGCCGAGCTCCAGCGCCCACGCAGCATGACCTTAGACAAGTCGCCCGACAGCAGGAACTCATGCGTGGCACCTCCGCGCCTCAGGCTGCAAGGAGACAGGGCGAGGTGCCTGCGTCCGATCTGCTGGAGCCCAGAACGGAACAAGTCGTGAAAGGCGCGCGTCGTGCCAGGCCAGAGCCGGCTGTCACGCTGGAGCTGCATATGGACGATTGCCCCAACCAGCGGGTCGTCAAGCGTGACGTGCTCCCGCGAGCCCTTCTGGCAAGAGGTATTGGTCCAGGGCAACGACACCACGCCTCGGCCACAGGGCTTCAGAAAGATGACGCCGCCGCTCAGCCCCAAAGCCTCGCCAGTGCGGAGACAGAGATGGAAGGCCACGAGCAGCGCGGCCGCGAAGGCCACCTCTCCGCGGCTGAGCGCCCAACCGGCGAGCGCCGCGCACACCTGGGCAGGCATCGGCGGCGCGCGCTGAGGGATCTCCAGTCTGCCCCAGACTGTCAGCAGCTGCCAAGCGCCAGGACAGCGGCGTCGTGTCCTCAGCAGGTGCTGCACGCCGCTGAGGGTGTCATTGGCTTCTCCTTTTGTGGCGCCCTCGGCCCACAAGTGCTCGAGATAATCTTGCAGGCAGATATCAATATCGTCCCAGGTGAAAGGCAGCGGCAGGTTATTGGCAGCAAGGTAGTCAACAAAACGCTGAGCGGCGCCACGGTAGCGGGCCAGTGTCGAGGCCTTTATCCTGGCGTCTCTCAGCTTCCCCAGTCCAACTCTGGCGGCGCGGCGGTCAGCAGGGCTACTCCGCTTCTTACCCATCGCGGAGACGCGAGGGGGCGTCCGCGGGGTTGCGAGCCGACGACGTGAAGCCGAAGACCGCCCGCGCGCCCATCGCAAGCTCCCACGCCGAGAAGGTCCGCACCACCTTGTTGAGCTGAGGACTGCTGGAACGGTGCTTGGACAGCGCGCCGATGTTGACCATGCTGTCGAGCAGGTGCAGGAAGACGCACTGATGGCGGCGCACCGACCGCGCCCGCCATCGAATCATCATCAGCGCGCCCTGGCACTCAAGAACGTTGATGTGCTCTGCTGCATCCCACACTAGCTGCCTTGCCTTGCGCCACCGCCAAATGCCTGAGTCGATCTCCTGCCGCGGGAAGATCTTGCCGAGCGCCTCCGGGGCGCCATCGGTCCTGATGTCTGCTCCGTTGTTGTGGCACGCCATGACGAGCCCCATGACGATGCGTCTGGGCGCGTCCACCTCGCGCCACTCCACCGCGTCGCGCTTCGCCAACTCCGCCAAGAGGATGTCGGCATGGCACGCCTGGTCAGGCCCACAGTGACAGACCAGTAGGGCCCCGCGCAGCGTCTCCAAGCTCTGCAGGAAGGTGGGCTGCGTGCGGATCCAACCAGCGAACAGGGCAACAGCGCCCTCGCGTGACCGCTCGGGGCTGATCGTGCAAGGGTTGCCCCACCGCGAGGCAGCCAGCCCCCAGCGGCGAGACCCGCGACCCACGTAGATGGGCCCGCCAGCCTGGTCCAGCTTGGCGCGCAGGCCCTCGTCGATCTCGGAGCGACCGCACCGCAGCGACGTCACGTCGCCGGCCCACAGCTTCCTGCCATCAGCCCAGGCTCGCGCACTCTCATGCAGCTCACCCAGCGAGGGCACCGAGACCAGCAGCCCAGCTCCGACGGCCCAGTGGCTGATGATCCAGGCCACGACCTCGCACTGGAAGGAGTTGCCCACGAGCGACCGCCGAAGAGCCTCGTACTTGGCGGGCTCGGCCTTCGTAGGAACAAAGAAAGGCGACACCGACGCCAGCAGGGCGAGGAGGTGCGAGGAGGCAAGCGGGGTTCTCCCTGGTGGTGTGCCCCCCCCCTCTCGCCCGAGACATCCCCAGCCTCCAGCCTGGGGAGGCAGCGTGGACCTCCTCGCTGGAGGTGGGTCCCCTGGTGGTGTTGGTATCGCCTTTCCTCCCTTCGACTTCGCCTGGCTGCTCGTCATGCACGGCACGGTGTGGCCCTCCGGGAAGCCCATCAGCTTCTCTCGAATGGTCGCGTCAGGCGGCTCCACGCGGCCATCCGCCTGGTGGATGCACCACTTGTCACGGAACTGGTAGGGCGGCGAAGCGAAGCCCGCCGCCTCCCAGCGCACCAGCTCAGCAGCGCTGCACTCCCCGATGCCCGCAGGCCTGGGGTGCGGCTGCGAGCGCGGCGCCCAGCGCACGAAGGTCGGGAGGGGCTCCCCTGCAGCGGGGCCCGGACACACAGCCCCGGGCGGGAGCCACTCCTCGAGCGGCGGCCGCTCCGCCTTCAGCGCCACCTTGCAGGCGCGCCGAACGTCCTGGGTCTTGGCCCGCACCACGACGGGCTCAGCCTCGAAGGACGGCAGGAGGTCCCACGAAGCCCAGTAGAGCCGCGGACGTCTGACCCAGCCGACATCCCCCGCTTCAATCTCCAGCGGGATGCGGCCGAAGAGCTGGTTCAGGCGCAGCACGCGGCACTCGGGCATCGACGCGACGTTCTCCCCGAGGAAGTCGATCGACGCCTCCGGCATGGCCGTCCGCAGCCCGTCCACGATCCGCACCATGTGGTCAACCAGGCCCGCGCGCGGGTCGTCGAGACCCTGCCGAGCAACATTGAGGCCCGCGAAGACCTGGCACGGGAAGCCGCCCACCACCAGCACACGCGACACCCGGCCTCGGGCGCGCAGCAGGGCTGCCAGGGCCGCCGGGTCCGCCTCCGTCACGTCCCCCAAGTGCTGCGTGCTGGGGTAGCTGCGCCGGGCCACCCGCACCGCCGTGGGGTCAACCTCGAATGACAGGTGCACGGCAGGGACCAGTCCGAGGATATCGAAAGCCCGGCGCCCGCCGCCGATGCCGTCGAAGACAGTCACGAGGGCGGTCTCCTCCTCGCAGGCGGCGTTCGCGGGCCGCTGCCGCCTCTCGGCCAGCGCGCGCCCGCGGTCGGAGAGGGCGTAGCCGTAGACCACGGCGCCAGCGGCCTCCGAGGCATCCGACGCGGTCACCAGGGGGTCGACTTCGAGGCGCAGGTCAGCGACGCAAAGCCCTGACAGCGCAAGGCACATCAAGAGGTCCTCGACCACGCTCACGCTGAAGCGGCCGCCAGTGCGCGGTTTCCCGAGCCACTTCCAGGCGTAGGCAAAGCTGGCCGCCAGTGGCCGCCGAAAGCAGTGAACACGAACCCAGCGGCCCAGCAGAATGCGCACCAGCCGCATGCTGGCCCGCTTCTTGCTCAGCGTCCACAGCGTGAGGCTGGCCATCTCGGTGAGATAACCCGCAGGGGGGCGCCGAACGCCCTCGACCCCGTCGATGAGCTCCCCCAAGGTCGTCGCTCGCGGCACTCGATGGATGTCCTTGGCCGGCGACCCCGGGGAGCCCGCAGCCGCATAGCAGGCGCGAGCCTCGGAGATGAGCTCGGGCACCGTCCCTCGCAGCGTCGTGGCCTCGGACTTGCCCACGACCTCCGCGACCCCCAGGTTGTCAATGTAGACCATCCACGCCGGAGGGCACGGCTTCTCCACGCTGAACGGCAGCCGTCGGCGCCGAGTAATCTCCTGGCTGGGCGGCAGGCCGCGAGGGACAGAGGCGCTCCGCCGCAGCATGTTCCGGTGGAGGTGGGTCGTCACGCCCGCGGCGCTGATCCAGCCTATGCCGATCACCCGCACGCAGATGCGCGTGGCCCCACCGTCCTTCAGGCCAAGCAACTCCGAGGGGACGGGCGGCCCTATCACCATGTAAGGCCACCGCGCAGGCGGCGCGCGGAAGACGTAGAAGAAGGCCGTTCTGTCCGCGCCGCTCCACAGGAGATCCTCCGACTCGGTCAGCACCAGGCCGTTCAGCTGGCTCATGGTCGGCATCTCAGGGGTGTCTCCCACGATGCACTCCTGGCACGCGTTCGAGGGGATGAGGTTGGTGATCAGCCTCAGGACCGGCCTGCGCTCGCCGTCGCTGCAGACCACGGGCTCGTCGTGGGGCTTGGGCACCCCGAGCGCCCCGTTCAGGAGCGGGGCTCCGTCGCGACAGGCGATCTCGCTGCTCGGGATCGCCGACGCCATCCCGCGCTCGTGGAGCGCCCGCACAATCCGATGCCACTCCTCGAGCGAGGCCCACACGCGCGCAGATGTCGGCGCGGGCCGCCGCAGGGCAGCGGGCAGCAGCACCAGCGTCGGGCCCAGGAGGGCCTCACGCACGAACCCCGTCGCGAGGTCGGCCGCCTCGATGGAGGCCGCGACGCCCGGCGGAGGCAGCCCGTCCAGCACCTGCTCCAGCGTCAGCCGATGCGGGGCCGAGATCTCGCCCCCGCCGTAGCCGAGTTTGCGGTCCTTCAGCCGCACGTTCCAGTCAAGATCTGGCGGCAAAGCAGGCTCGGCCCGCGTAGCCAAGAGGAGGCGGCGGCCGAGAGCGACCAGGGCTGCCTGCTGCGCGGCGTTGGCGCCTGGCCAGCTTCAGGGAGCGGAACCCGGACTCCCAGTTTAGCGCCAGGACAGTGACCACCAGCCTGCAGTATAGTCCTTCCCACCCCTTGTCGCTCAAAGGGTCCTCGCCCTGCTGGACGATCTGGGACCCGGTGATCGAAGGGTATGGTAACGGCAACAGATCTCGCTGAAGCCGACCTCCCATGCCGGCCGGATGCTCGCGTGGCTTTACCTCGAGGGAATATCTAGTGAAGCGACCGAAGGAGCCTGGGAACTGGCGGACTATGTTCAACAACACGGGGCCCACGTCGAAAGGTTCTCGCAGAAGATCACTCGCCGCGCCAGCCCACTCGCGCCACTCTGCCAGCGGATCACCGTCACAGTCGGCATCCGTACCACAGGCCGGCTGGCACGACGAGGACGCTGGGCGGCGAGAGGCGGCAGCACCACCACGGTCAGGAGCCAATCTCGGAGGCGGCGAGCGCGACGGTGAAGTCCAGGGCGGTCTGCGCGAGCGGGCAACCACACCAAACTCGGTCGCACTCGCACGCGCATCATCAGCGCCGGCACCATCAGCTCGCTGCCTCACCTCAGCGTCGCAGGAAGGCCGCCTCGGCCTCGGCCCCGGTGCTTCCTGCCGCCACGGCGGCGGCCGCAGGGGGGGCCGGGCCGCGCGGCGGACCTTGCTGCAGGCCCGCTGCCGCCGCAGCCGCGGGCTGGTCCTGCCTGAAGACGTGGCGCTCCGGGCTCGTCGCCAGCGAGACACGCCTCGGCCCGTCCGCCGCCCTCGGGTGCGGGCTGTCGCCTCGAGGCGTCCTCAGCGCCCCCGGAGACGGCGACCTGCCCGCGCTGCCTGAGCGCGCTGCGCCTGGCGGACCCGCGGGCGGGGCTGCGGCTGCGGGCCCTGCCCAAGGCCGTGCTGGGCTCCCCGCGGGCAGGGAGAAGAAGCGGCCTCGGCCGCGCCCGCGGCTCTTCCCGCGACCGCGGCCCTGCTGGCGGCTCGGCGAGGGCGAGTGGGCTCCGCCGCTCCCGCGCCTCGCCTCCTCGGGTCAGGCTTGGCGCTCGCCCTGACCCTGGCCGCCGAGGGCGCCGCGGCTCTTCGCGTCCATCAGCCTCCTGCGCAGCAGTGCCGCCCGCCGCGCCAGGTCCTGCTCGCCCATCGAGGCCAGCGAAGGCCGCGCGTCCGGCACGATCTCCAGCTCGCTCGCCACCTGCCAGCTCGCGTCGGACAGCGACAGCTCCAGAGCCTTGAAGCGCTGCATCAACACGTCGCTCAACTCCGCCAGGCACCCACACTCCAGCAGGTCCAGCGCGGTCGCCAGCGTCTGCAGCTCCCGCTGAGTGTTGATCCGCATCTGCCCTGGTGGGTGATGGCCGAACACCACGGCCTGCAGGTAGCCCACGACCTTCGCTCGAACCTCTGAGCAGTCCGCCACCTCCCGCAGGCCCATGACGCGCCCGGTGTTCTTCATCGCCTCGTCGTACAGGGCACCTGGGCGCTTCTCCGCCAGCAGCCGCACGCTGCCGCCGCGGGAGGGGGCCTCGCGAAAACGCGACTCACCGTCGTCGTCGCTGCGCGAGGCCGAGGAGCTCCGGGGGCGGCCGCGACCGCCACCAGCGCGGCCAGGCGTCGCCGTAGCGGCCTGCGCGCGCGCCGCGGCAGCTGCCGCCAGGCGGTCGGGGGCCGCGCCCCCGGCTGGGGCGCCCCCCGCCAAGGCACCGCCACCGCCGCGCCCACCGAAGGCGCTCGGCCGCACCCACGGCTCCACGAACCCGCGGTTCGAGCGCAGCCGCAGCCACTCGACATGCAGGACTCCTCGGCCTGGCACAGCGGGCTCCCCGCACAGCGCCAGTCCCTGCCCGCGCAAGTGCAGGAGGCCCGCAGGCCCGGTGCCGCGCGGTGGGAACAGGCCGTCCAGCCGCATCGCCTCGGCCGCCAGCGACGCCCCCCTGAACTGGGCGCTCAGGTACTGCCCTGAGGGGCCCGTGGTGCCGATCTCCTCTACCTCGAAGAGGGCCGTCCCGCTGATGCCTCCAGCTGCGTCGAAGGTCGGGAGCTCGAGATCCACCCCTCGGCGCCAGTCGGCGCCAATCAGAGTCACGGCCTGACGCCACGGACCGTCCACGAGCGGTCCCAGCTGCGCGCCGCCCGCTGGGGCGATGGGACCGCCAGCCACCGCGATCGGCACACCAGGGATCGCCGGGGCCCCCGGCACCGCACCAGGAGGAGGGCCTCCAGGAGGGCCGCCGCCGCCGCCCGCGAGCGCGCCCACCAGCGCGGCGCCCACGCCGCCGGGGGGAACACCTCCGCCGTCAGGCGCGGCGCCGCCCGCCGGGGGCGCCCCAGCAGCCCCGCCGCCTCCGAAGCCTGGCAGGCCGGGCAGCGCCGCCAGGCCAAGCACCACGGGCGCGCTGGCACCGCCGCCCGCGGGCGCGGCCGCCGCGGCGCCGCCGACCGCCGCGGCCGCCGCCAGGCCCGGGGCAACAGGCGGGAAGGCGGCGGCACCTCCGCCTCTCCCCGCCGGCGCCGCGCCCTCGGCCGCGGGCGCGTCCTCGGCCCAAGGCCTTCGCCTTAGCCTTAGCCTTGGCTTTGCCCTTGGCGACGGCCTTCGCCTTCGGCGCCATCGAGCCCCAGGCCGGCGAGCGCGGAGAGCAGCGCGCCCAGGAGCCGGGCGGAGTCGAGCAGCGGCGCCCTCTCCTCCACGCTGAGGCGGGCGCGCCACGCCGCCTGCCGAATCAGACCGATGATGTAGCACAGCTCGCAGACCTCCAGGAGGGACCCGCCCTCGGCCAGGGCCAGCGACTCCCCTCGCCCGAGGGGTCCCGCGCACCACCCGCAGTATCGCACGGGCGAAGGGCGCGGCACGGTGGTCCCGGGGGCGTCCATGCCCTCCCTGGAGGGCGCAGAACCAGCCAGAACAGCTGCCATGCGAGCGAATGCGGCCGATGTGACACGCAACCCCCCTGACGCCCACACATCTACCGTAAACGTATACATTCCCCTCTCTCTACATATATGTGTATGCATATGTATGTGTATGCATATGCATACACATCGGTTTATATACAGATGTAGATATACGAACATAGATATATACGTCAGGTTGAGTGGGACCGAGCGGTCAGTCATTGGCCCTGGGTGCGTGGCTGAAGTGGGGATACGTGGTGAAGGTTCTGCTTGTTGCGTTGTTGTTGTTGTTGTTGTTGTTGTTGTTGTTGCTATTGTTGTTGAGCTCCCACTACTGACGAATAATTATTGTTGATCCCCCCTCCGGTGAACATTGTACTTTTCGATTGAAGTGCAACCCCGGCGCTCGCACCCTGTTCGTTATCAAGGCAAGTCTTCCTCCTCAAACTGCATTGTTGGCCCCCGGGTTACAACAACAACAACGGCTTCCGCGCGACTTCCTCACAATTCAACCAGGACCCCCGCTCCCGCCCGAGACATCCTCGCATTTGATTCAGGAATCGCGCTCTCGCTTGGGACTTCCTTACAATGTCTTCAGGAATCGATCTCTCGGCGCTCTGGAATCGCGCCATCGCTGGGGACTCGCTTGCAATTTACTCAGGAATAACGCCCTTGCGTTGGAATTTCCTGCAAGGGCCGACCTCGGTCCGACCATGCGAGAAAAATACTGGAGGCCTCGCGCGGCAACCTGAAACCAGATTTACGTCGATCCCCGCGGGACTTACGTCGGGCTCCCGTCCGATTGCATCGAACTTCACGCGGGATTCACATCGGACTCACGTCGGAGCATCGCCGCGCGCAAACGTCGTCCCACATCTGACGCGGCGGACGTGCGGACTGGATACGGCTGTGGCGCGCCGCGCGAGGCGTCAAGGATACAGTCGGGTCGTTGACCTAAGGAACCCTAAATAAGGAACGAGGTCCCTTTTTCCTATCAGTTAAAGTTCGATTTCCCCTCCAAAACCTGAGGAAAACCTAAGGCAAGCTGTGAAACAATCAAGGAACACGGAGCACCTCCCCAACGAAAAGGGTTCCTTCTTCAGCGCCCCGACTGTATTCCTCATGACCAGGATTGTAGGCCGCTGAGGGGGCAACACTGTTTCCAGGGCCAGGTCCAAATACGCTCGGCCGGCGCGCATGCTCCGCCAACAGCAATCCTTACGACCCCCTATCCGCAATAAGCTCAGACCTTCTGACGCCACCTTCACATCAAGAGCAACCCGTCCAGGCACGCGAGGGCGCGCGCGCGCGGGCAGAGCAGCAGCTACCCTGGGCACTACCACCCCCCCTCCGTCGCTCAGAAACACAGATCGCGCTCGCTGCCCCTCAACGAACTTCAATAGGGACACGAACAATGTCATAAACAGAATAACTCGGGGGCCCGCTCGAATCGGCGCTCGGTGCCCCTGGCGGCGTCTCCGGCGCCGCCCCTGGCGCGCTCCGCGCGCCAGGGAGGGGAGCCCAGCTCCGGCTTGGGAAATCCGCGCGGACCTCCGAGTTTCTATGCTCACATCATTGTTTGTTCTCCCAGTCTTAGGTCGGGCATGTCCCCCTCCAGGCCGATTTTGGAGGATAGAATAAAATCATAGCCGGAGCGCAGTATCCCCAAACAGGGGTTTTAAACCCACTGCGGTTTCCAAGGTCGATTGCGTGCCCTTTCAGTGCGGGCTGGCATGGCATGTTAGAACATGTCAATGATGATATGATGTTTGCACATGAGATGTTTGCACATGATAACATGATGCCTGCTCCCTCATCCACATCCTCCTCCTCCTTCTCCCTTCCATCTCCTCCTCCTTCTCCTCCTCCTCCTCCACCTCCTCTTCATCCCGAACGGCATTTCGGCGCCCAGAGTTGCGAGGATATCTCCAGCGTAACGGGCTGGACCACCTCGCGCGCGGCATCTCGGACCCCAGAGTTGCGACGATGTCTCGGGCGAAACGTGCTGCGAGGAAGTCTCAGGCGAAGCGGGCCGGACCACCTCGAGCGCGGCGTCTCAGAGCTCCGAGTTGCGGGAGCCTCCTGGGGCCTCCTGGGGCCTCCTGGGGACCTCCTGGGGCTTCCTCCTGGGCCTCCTGTGGCCTCCTGGACCCCGCCCGGGGCTTCCTGAAGCCTCTTGGGGCTCCCAGGGGGGGATATCTAACAGGTGGCCGTCTGGGCCCCCCGAAATGCGGGGGGGCCACAAGAGCAGGACAAATCAACGAATCGACACCGGATGTGTATTAACTTGACACGTTCTGATAGGGGGCCTCCTGGGGCCTCCTGGGATCCTCCTGCCTGGGGACCCCTGGGGCCTGTCATGGGCGTCCCGCGGCCTTCTGAAGCTCTCTGGGGCCTCCTGGGGCTCCGAGGGGGGGATATGTAACATGTGGTCTTCTGGGCCCCCAGGCTGGACCACCTCTTGCGCAGCCTCTGGGAGCTCAGAGGTGCGAGAATGTCTTGTGCGAAACGGGCCAGACCACCTTACGCACGGCATCTCAGAGCTAAGAGTTGCGAGGATGTCTCAGGCGAGACGTGCTGGACCACCTCGCGCAGGGCATCGCAGAGCTCAGAGTTGCGATGATGTCTCAGGCGAAACGGGCTGGACCACGTCGCGCGCGGCATCTCCGAGGTCAGAGTTGCGAGGATGTCTCAGGCGAAATGGGCTGGACCACCTCTTGCGCGGCATCTGGGAGCTCAGAGTTTGGAGGATGTCTCAGGCGAAACGGGCCAGACCAACTCGCGCGCGGCGTCTCAGAGCTCAGAGTTTCGAGAACGTCTCAAACGAAACGGGCCGGAGCACCCCTTGCGCGGCATCCTGGAATGCAAAAGTGCGAGGATGTCTCAAGTGAAACGGGCCGGACCACCCCTTGGGCGGCATCTCGGGGCTCAGAGTTTGGAGGATGTCTCAGGCGAAACGGGCCGGACCACCTCTCGCGCGGCATCAGAGAGCGCAGAGTTTGGAGAATGTTTCAGGCAAAACGGGCCGGACCACCTCGCGCACGGCATATCAGGGCTCAGAGTTTGGAGGATGTCTCAGGCGAAACGGGCTGGACCACCTCTTGCGCGGCATCTCGTAGCCCAGAGTTTCGAGGATCTCTCAGGCGAAATGGGCTGGACCACCTCGTGCGCGGCATCCCAGAATTCAGAGTTGCGAGGATCTCTTAGGCGAAACGCGCCGGACCACATCGCGCACAGCATCTCAGAGCTGAGAGTTTGGAGGATGTCTCAGGCCATACGGGCCGGATCACCTCTCGCGCGGCATCTGGGAGCTCAGAGTTTGGAGGATGTCTTAGGTGAAACGGGCCGGACCACCTCTCGCACGGCACCTCGGGGCTCAGAGTTTCTAGGATGTCTCAAGCGAAACGGCCTGGACCACCTCTCGCGCGGCGTCCAGGAGCGCAACTGTTCGAGGATGTCTCAGGCGAAACGGCCAATTCCGGCCAACTCTGAAACGAGAGTTGTGAGGATGTCTCAAGCGAAACGGCCCGGACCATCAGATTTTTGTGAGGATGTCTCTGCTCCCCCTTCCCTCGGCCGGAGTTAGCTTCTATCACAACAGCACCCCGTTCAGCAAGCTGTTTGGGGAATAAGCAAAAAACTCCAAAATAGTCAGAAACTCGTCCCAAAACTATTTCTGGACTATTCTTGAATATTCCTCCTGTAGAGGGACACGCCCGACTCAGCCCTATTCAAGACTAAGACATCGCTGGCCAGGACCTTGAAGATTCCACCGGCAACGCTCTCATGATACGTTCCCCAAAGGGACGCCAGCGAGAGGGACTTCTGTGACCGCGGCGCTGCATCTGAAGCCTCGAAGTGCGAGCGAAAGCGGGCGAGGCCGACCAGACTTGAGACACCGGCATCGCCCGCCTCAAAAGTCCCTTTCCCTGGGGCCCCCTTGGGAACCACATATAGGGAATCGAACTCTATACACCGACACTTCTTCCGGCCCTGCATTGGAAATTGCACGGGAGAGCGGATCCTGGTGTCTACTGGACCCTGGTGTATGATTTTTTCGTTGCTTCCCCAGGACATCGGGGACAAAAAGTATACACCACACCACCCCAGCGTCGCCCTCGATCCTCAAGAAGTCCTGGGGTTCAAAACCAGCCCGCCACTGGTAATGTATTCGGGAGCGGCAAAGAGGGGGGTGTCCAAGAGGGGGGGTGCAAATCATGACTGGCGGCATGTGCGCAGCCCAGCGGGGGGGCCAGGAACGTAATGATATATAAGAAGAGGCGCCGTGAAATCTGGTGAGGTATCGTGGCCCACGCCATGATATCCACCCCCCCTCCTAGTCATCACCCACCTCTTTGCCGCCCCCGATGTATCTGTTCCAGTTTCCGAACAATGTTCGGAAACTGGAAAGGAGGGATCGGAAAGGGAAAGGAGGGAGGAAGAGGGAGGCGGGGGGGGGGAAGGAGAGAGAAGTATTGTTTCGCAATGCAAGGTGCAAGCGAATCCTTCGAATGCGCGCGCTTCGTTGCGATGCATCTAAAATGAAGCTAACCCCACCCGCTTTTGGTACCCCTACGCTTTTGGTACCCCTTATGGTGCTTCTGAAACATGAGCTCCGGCCCGCGGCTGCGGACCTCTCGAGCGCGCCGGTGCCCCGTGGCCCGCCGGGGGCCCCTGCCCGCGGAGCCCCGCACGGCGCGCGGAGGCATCCCCCGGAGAGGCACCCCGAGCTCCGACGCCGAGACGAAGCCACGACAGCGACAGCATCGGACAAGAAGAACTCCCACGGCGGTCCTCCTCCGGTCCTGCTCCCAAGGGGGGGGGGCAGGGGGGAGTCGTTTTCCTCCTCCTCCTCCTCCTCCTCCTCCTCCTCCTCCAAACCTCCAAACCTCCTCCTCCTCCTCCTCCTGCCCCTCCTGGTCGTCCTCAATGTCTTTCAGGGTCGGCGGCATCCGGACAGGAACAACTCGGGGATCTCTGAG